GAAAATAAGTTTCTTGACATCCAGATGAAAACCAACCCAGGAATTATTGATCTTGTATGCTCTGTCAATCAACGTTCTGACTAAACCTAATTTGTAAATCAAAGGGGCGAAGCTGAAATAATTAGTAAGAAGGCCAGTAAACGTCTTCTTGCGATATACACTAGTGACGATGGATGTATGATTGTTGTCTAACAATATGTCTAGAAACGATAATTTCTTATCAATTTCCTTTTCCATTGTGAAACGAATACTAGGATGCCTGGCGTTGATATAATCAAAGAACACGAGCGCGTCCTCCTCGCTATTGAACAAACAAAAGGTGTCATCAACATAGCGTCTGTAGAACAGAACTTCAGAGAATGAATAGTTATCTAGCCAGTTTTTTTCATGATGTCCCATAAAGAGGTTTGCAAGTACTGGAGCAAGTGGGGACCCCATGGCAACCCCATCTATTTGATCATAAAACACACCCTTAAACAAGAAACCAGTCTCAGCTGTTGCGAAGGTAAAAAGCGTTTTTAGGTCAGCGGCGTTTATCTTAAGACCAGGGTTACCTTGATAAATGTATCTGATCGCCAGATCAATACATTCATCAAGAGGTATACTAGTGAACAGACTCTCAACATCGAAAGATACCATGAACTTCCCTGAGGTTGATAACTGGTTGATTTCATGTACAAAAGAAAACGTGTCGCGGACGTTGTATTCACGCGGGACATGTGGCTCTAGAAGATTACAAAGGAACTTAGATAAATTGTAATTGTAGGTACCTATTGAAGATACTATGGGTCGAAAAGGAGGTGTTTCATTAGGCTGCCGAGCCTTGTGCATTTTAGGTAGCCCATAAAACCTGGCTGGTTGAGAACCAGTAATTAATTGATTAATTTAAATTCAAATGTACAACAGTTAAATGCTCATTTGCAACTGAAGATGACATAAGAATGTCGAAACATGTCTTGTAAATTTAAACTCAAAGTTGTTGTTTCTTTTTTGAGAGTTATTGTCACTCTGCTGTCTTTACGTCCTTGAGATTTGCAGTTTCCTTGAAAAACTTGCTACGTTCAACCTTTGCGCCCAAAAATTGTTTTTTTTTTCTTTGATATTGCTATGTGGATGAGACAATTTTAACACGCTGGAAAGATTTAACATTCCCGGCTCAAATACCCTATCCCACCCAGTCAAGGCTCAAATTCCCCACCCCCGGAAACAGACAACAATCAAATGCGCCATGGTTGCCTGGGGGGGAGGTTGAAGCTTCGAATTAATCGGCGTATTAGGATAGCGCAAGGTGATGGTAACGTTGATTTTCTATTCCCATATTTAGCCGAACAATAATTCCTTTACCGCAAGCTCTCTCGCTCTTTCTTTTTAGCCTCTGGGGAGAAGCGTCAGCTTTGAGTGCGTCACGCAAAGGTACTGACGTCACTGGAAAAAAAATTCGGCTTAACTTGGGTTTACTGAGTTTGGTTTTCTTAGTTTCGATCTGCAGGGAAGTTATCATTAGACCCTCTCTACAGTTAAAACAATTCTTATAATGGCCTATGCTTAGTTACATTGTCCCTCCATGAAACTATCCTTTTCAAGAAAAGATGGGAAATAAAATAATACAAAAATATGTAGAATCAAACAGAATTATTCACAGATAGAACATATGAAATTGGACGATGAGGTCCAAAGCCGGGCACTTTTGTCCACAGGCACACAAAAGGAGCCAAAAACAAACAATAGCATTCAAAATAAGACTGAAATCAGTCAGAAAGTTTGAAATGGACAAAAGCACTCAAATCAAACGGAATGGTATAAAAAAACATGCCATAGCCTCCTTAATTGGGTAAAAATGTCTCAATGCACATAATTGGACCGTGCCTCTTATGTTGATCAATATTAGACGGATAAAGCTATCTCATCAGACGATCCGTCAATGTTGATTGATTATTTTTATTCTGGAAATAACCTCAAGCAGTTTGTCCCACGTCTTGCTTTTAATGCTATTTATTTAGAAACTGGCTTTATTTGTCTGCACAGAAATTTGAATTTTGCTTGTAAAACACGGCCTCTGAAAAAAGCAGTTCTTCCTCTTTCTCAGGGCAGTCTCATTTGTTCTTTCATCTAAGTGTCTGGTTGTCTTGGTTTGTTCACATTTTTTAACAACATTGTTTTGCAATACTTGTAGAAAGGCTTGCAATTTAAGCAGTTCCAGAGAAGAGGCCTGGAAAAAAATTCAGGCTTTGACAGGATTTAAACCCATGTGTCCTGATAAAGGGAACTTGTTCCCCATAGAGGGATCTGATTATAATTTTAATGAAATACATTAAAGTTCACCTGTGGATGGAAATTAAGTTAAGGTATGATCCTTGCCAGTGAAAGAAGCCTGTATTGTTTTCCTTTACTCATAATTTCAATTTAAAAAAAAAATTAAGGAATTGAACACAAAATGGAGCCTCTCAGGGGGTACATAATCAATTTTGTAAAAGTTCAAAGTTCATCAGTAATCAATATAAGATTCTTTCTACTACATTACAACATTACTGTTGACTCAACACACCAATTAGCAACTTCTGCTGCCAATCTAGTCACTATTTTTTTCTAACACCTAGTTGGCTTTCGAGAATTCCACCCAGGCCTCCTCAATCCAAGACAGGACAGAAGCTGTACACACTTTGAGTACCTCATATATTCGCTCAAAAATCCTTAGAAAATTTTATAAAGGATTTATGGGGGACAACGGGAGGTACTTACAGCACCCTCAGTTTCTGTCCTGTCATGTCCTATCCAAAACAGTCGCAAACAAAATCAAAATCATGTGTACCATTTTTCCAACCCAAACAAAAAATCCCTACACTGATGGTCACATGAAGTTCAAAATGGTAAGCCTTATTTTAAACTTTCAAGTCAATCTTTCTCCTCTTCCGTGCCAGAATCATCGCTTGTATTGCTTTCACCATCCTCACTTCCTGGACTTTGATCGTCTTCTTTTTCTTGATCATGCTTCCTGTTCAATTTTCTCTGCTCTTGCAACTGTTGGAATATTTCATCTTTTGTAAGATACCTTTTGTTGCAGTGCTTGTGAAAGGATTCCCCTGTTTCTCTTCTACCTTTCCTTCTCTTGTAAGTTCTTGAGACTCCACTGCACTTTGAACATTGTTTTCCAGCATAACAGACAAACAACTGACACTTTGAAGAAAAAGCTCTATTCTGTGTTAGAACTTCACTGTTGTTTAACGTTTTAAGGACTCCAGTTTGATGTGGTATTAGAGACCTAATTGAGTCATCTTCAGGAAGAATGCACCCCAGACATAACTTAGAAGTGTTTACAAAATCCAAAACAACCTCAGTTTTTTCACTAACAGTCAAATCTTTAACAATTCTTTCAACATTCAGGGTGGACAAATGGAGCTCACATGAATGAGACTTGACAATGAAAGATACATTTTTCTCTGGAGATAATTCCATCACTATCTCTTTATAAATCCGCTGGTTTCCAAATTCCAAAGGCTCAGGATGAACAAAACTAATTCTACAAGGATTGTCCACAACCTTATACCAACCTATTGGTAATTGAAATGTATCATTTTTAGCCAACTGCTGAAAATCATTTGTAACATCATAGTCTGGGGGCTGCACAGTTTGTCCTTGTTTTCGAATAAGATTCAGCACACAGTATTTTCTGTCGATTCTTTGTCCTCTTCTGACTTTCTTGACTTTATCACCCCACAAAGCACTGATGAGGTCACCAACAAGTTTAGGATTTGCAGAGGTTTCCAGTCGCAAGCTGTCTTTCTCTTTGTCAGCATGTTCAACAATTTCATTAAACAACGTCATGCCTCCTTGTGAATGAGCATAATTCCTCAAGAGCCTAAAACAAGACCAAAGTTAGATATGGTTGGCCAGAGGGGTGGGTGGTAAACCAATAAAAAGTGTGTTCTTAACGGACTGCAGACTATTTCATTTTTTTTTTTTCGTTCACAAAGATCCTTTCCCTAAGGCACGCACTGCGCTTCATGGAACTGAATCAACGAGTTACACAAAAAGGCAGTATTTAAACTATGCAAGTACAAGTTACGGTTTTGTACGTTGCTGTATAAGTAGTTAAAACACGAGCATGAAAACTGGCTGACCCGAAGAGGGTCCGACAGGCCAGTTTTCGTGATAGAAAACTGCTCTGATCTACCTTGACGACAATCATACCCAAGAAGATAATTAGGGAGTTACAGTTGTAAATTTAAAAAGGGTTCCTCTCACCAAAACTTCCACTGATGACGAGGCCGACCATCAAGCGAAGATGCTCTCTTCCGCTTCAAATTTGAAGCACCGTTCTCCACATCAACCTCTTCATCGTGAGCTCTACTTAAATCTGCATTCTGCGCTGCTGCTATCTCCGAGGTAGACATCTTGTTTACAATGGCGTGCTCCGGCGGAAAAGATTCTTGGGAAAAAATTGGTGATCCATACCAGTCCCCTCACGCCAAAATTCTTTCTTTCAGACGCCATCTTGAAGAGTGAGCGAGCTATTTTTCAAAATGGTGAGCATTGAGTCATATTTGTCTTATTTAGAAATACGTAAAGTAGGTTTCTTCCACTAGATCCATTGATTAAAGTATTATTGACTGGATTCGCTCGCGATTGCAGCAAGATGGCCAAAGAGAGCGCTAACTTTGCAAAATTTCACGGTGGTGTACCGTGGTTAAGTTTATGTTGTTCTAATTTCCTTACTGTAGCCGTCCCACAAAAGCTTCAAAATTAAGAGAGTGTTGGGCAAGAAAATGAAACAGAACAGGCCTATCCCTCAATGGGTGAGGCTCAGGACTGGAAACACCATAAGGTGGGTTACTATTAAACTATACATGCGAGTGCAGTATGCGATCCTTATGTTAGAAGCTTGTTAAACCCAATAGCTTAGCAAGGGAAGACACAGGTAGCCCAAGCTCTCTATATGAACCGCGCAAGAAACACAATATGGCATATCGATTTATAAGGATTTGTATGGGATTTTCTACTAGATATCCATGAAGGTGGTTACAAGAGAAAATATTCAATAAAAATGGCGTAACCTATTCCATACGTGTGTTGTTTGCTCCTGGTGTCGTTATTTTACCGATTTAACTTGATTTAAGCGATTTTTTTAATCCTGGTTTTCTCTTCTTAAAGAGAAGCAAAGGTTGGAAACCAGGGTGGTCAACAACAGAGATATGGTCTCAGTGTTTGGGCCAAAACATAAAGTTAGAACGCTTCAAATCCCCTCAAACTGCCCCTCTGCCTTGTTCGATAATCATCCTAGATAGCCAACCTAGGACCTGTAAGCGTGTGTTTTGTTTGTAGGTTTTACAGGTTCTGGGGGAGGGCGGGGAAGTAGTTGTCATCTTGAAAACTGACCCCAGAACACCTAGTGAACCCACTTCGGAGTCGGTTAACAATTAAGCAAGTTGATTGGTTGCACAGCTTATGGATCCAAGCTTCAATCGATACGAGTTGAGGGCAATGAAATGGAACTTTCGTGGCAAATTATTCTTCGAGTATTGGGGACTGAGTATTTTGCTTCCATTGGCTATCTAGGACGATTATCGAACATGGCAGAGGGGTAGTTTGAGGGGATTTGAAACATTCTAACTTTATGTTTTGGCCCAAACACTGAGACCATATCTCAGGTAGTCGACTGTCATGGTTCCAACCTTTGCTTTTCTTTAAGAAGAGAAAACAAGGATTAAAAAAATCACTTAAATCAAGTTAAATTGGTAAAATAACAACACCAGGAGCAAACAACACATGTATGGAATAAGGTAAGCCATTTTTCTTGAATATTTTCACTTTTAACTATCTCCATGGATATCTAGTACAAAATCCCATACAATTCCTTAGGAGTCAATATGCCATATTTTGTTCCTTGTGTGGTCATATAGAGAGCTTGGGCTACCTGTGGGGAAACCAAACTCTTCTCGGGTGTTTAAAGTAATCAACATGAACATAACAAAAGATACTTCCACATCTGAGAAGAAATCTTTATCTGTAGGAGAAGCATGTTGGTTAGCATCCAGACAGTGTGATATGGGATTCTCAGATGTGTTATTTACTTGAATTTTTTTTCCTACTGAATGAAATTTAATGTCTACCCGACTGCAAATTCACAGTTTTTCACCTATTGAAATATTCTTGTAATTTGAGTAAATTTAATTGTCAACAGCTTTTAATGTTATGAATGATTACTAACGCTTGGAATTTGTCAGACATGACTCCTACTAGCTTTTCACTACCATAGTAGTTAACATCAGCAAGAACCTTAGTAATCTTGTTCAGCATGTGAGAAAATTTAGTTCTGAAGTGAAGGTTGACAGTTGCATTGTGAGCATCCAAATTCAGGTTATTGACCCATTCCTACATTTGTTTGGTTTCAGATACAATGCTAAGAGACGTCACTGGCGTAGAACCAAGTTGGGACTGTAGAAGAAATCACAAATCTTTGTCAAACTTTTACAAGAGTTTGTGTTAAAATGGTAACATTCAACATCAACTTTGTGATGTTTCTGTACAAAACCCATTAAAACTTGTTTGACCAGTTATGTAAGCCTCTTGTTTTTGCTATATCTAGAAAATAGGATGTTGACCTTCTAGAGGGAACCACTGTAATTGATATTGTTGGTTTAATATTGGTAAGCTGTGTCTGATTAATGACATGAAACAGTTGATAAAACATAAAATTACTTGCAACATCAATCACCTTTCTCTAAGGTTTAACCAGTAGGTTAAATGGGATGTGAAGGTCGTAAACTGTTCTTCTGTGGATACCCTAGGAATGGTTAAGCATGAAAGGATAAACCAAACAATTATGAATTCTACCCTCTCACTACATACTTTCTGGTGAACAAATTAGACAATTTTATTGATAAATCAAAATAACACCCTGTACTTGAAAGCCTCTCTATTTCGTATAACCTATTTGGTGAAATATTGGTTTTAAAATTTCAAAGAGAAGTAAAAACTAACTTGTGAACTATAAACCTGAAACATTAGTACAAGGGATGGATAAAGATTGACTGGAGAAGGATCTACTTATCTCCTTTACACATTTCTTGGAATTTGTCTTCAAATAGATAAACAGTTATCAGGTATTTTCAATGTTTGTCCTTTGAGTGCAAAGCCAAGAATTGTATGACACAATGTGCTTATCATCCTGTTGAGGTCCTTCCCAAGTTTAGTCATCATGTTTGCTTTAAAAAGGTGAGCCTTGTTGGCCCATTCTGCTTTTAGTAATCTCTGTTTCCACATCTTATGGAACTTGGGGCATTGCACTTCCACTTTCTGCAGAAGCATTATGCACCGCATTATGTCAGGTCTCCAAAGTGTCAAGAAACCAGTAACCTGAATGGTCTCTGTAGACAATCTCAATGAGATTACACCAGTATGCCTGGATATTCTCATTATAAAGAACACTGACAGCCCTCGCTCTGAAGGGTTAAGGTATATGCCTTGGTGAGAAACTGAACTTTGGTGTAAGAATCACATTGTCATAGTCTAAGTTTGTATCAAGAGTGAATGGTTGAACCTCATCGGCATCTTCACCTTCCTGAAAAAAGAAAATGACATGGATGAGTACCACTTTGAACAATATAAAATATCTTTTTCTAAATGAAAAGTACTAAGGAGTATCCATGGATGGAGGCCATTCATTTCAGACTGACTAACTACTATTGGACTTAATGCCAGTTATTGCAAATTACAGCAAAAGAAAAAAACCACCTGAAAAAGAATGACATCTACTGTGGTTATTCATCTTGCTGAAATGCTACAATTTTAATAGAGCAAGATGCAATAGCTACCCATGTGCATGCATACTGGGGTTTGCAATAATTCAAAAGAACTCAATAAAACTTGATATTTAAAAAAAACTCCAAAAAAAGACAGTCAAACCAGTTTATCTACAGTCAAAAATATGGAAATATAATGAATGTCTTCCTTTGGCTTAACTAGCAAATTTATTTTATCAAAGTGAATGTTTTTTTAATATTTTTCCTTATGGGTTGAAAAAATAACTCGATGAAATACACATTACCTCACTTGGAGTTCTTTGATCATTCTTTCTGTGACAAATATTTATTCTTGTGGCAATCTGTAGTTGTGTTATTTTGGGTGATACAACTGCTTCAGAGGTATCTAAAAAGCAGTAATAGATAATTCAGAGGATTAGTAAACTCAGCCAAAATCCATAACTATAATATTTAATAATAAATTATTAAATAACAATTATAAAAATGTCAACCAGCAATTTATTTCTATTATACACACAGAGTCATAACACTGCTTATTTTCTGTCCCTCTACCTGGCTGTTCATTCATTTCGTAATCATCAACTTCCCCAGGAAGAATTGAAGCATCTCCTGTAGACAAAAATTCAAAGACAAAATTCTATTAAGGCTAGGACCATATACATGGACTGATTAACAGAATGAGAACCTGATGGTAACTTTCACTAGAAATATAAGATTCAGCCCCTTGTGCCTATCTCCAGTTAAACCCATCCCAGAAAGAATTCAGTTTATCACAAACAACTGACAGCAGTTATCAGAGGTTACCGTATCTGGTTTTATAATGTTAATATAAACAACAACAAAAGCAGAATCTGATTTCATACCTGGGAGATAACAGACTTCTTTAGTTGCTTCATGGCAAAGTTCAATGCCCAAATCAACATTAGAGGGAATATCTTTAGCAGTTGAGATCCTATCTCCTTTATGCTTTGAAGAATTTGAGGAATTAACTACAGAAGGGGAATAACCAGAGGCAAATATATCATCCTCCAACAAAGAGTCAACATTTGGAATGGATCTTTCATCATCACTCCCCTCATCTGCATATTCTACAAAATTATCAACCTGCAACAAGAACAAAAAAAATAAATTATTTTAATTTTATCATTCTGGTAATTCTTGGCTAATTTTACATATTGGGATACATGTTGGATCTTTCATTATGATTCAGGAACTTAAAAATAAGATTGTATTTTGCCAAAGTCAGCTTTTTTTTTTTTGGGACGAAGAGATAGTGGACTGTGACACAACAGCTTACTGGTAGCTTGAGATTGAAACTTGATTTGCATGCACTGCTGTAGCTTTACTGCATTACAATGCTAGGATCTGAATTAAGCCAGTCCATACTTAAATGCAAGGGACAAAAAAACTACTAGCAAACCTATTTCTGGAGATGAGTAACTTGAACTACGGCAAGTATCAAAATAGGAGGCTGGCATCTGTGAGATATCTTGATCTAATTGTAAGAACATACATGAAAGAGTACAAGCTTATTGGTGCAGATTCATATGGCAAATTTCAAAGGTCATCTTCCAAGCTCCAAGTTAAGTTCAAATATACTTAGCTCTATATGAGGGTAATATATATCAACCAATGTAACACACAATTACCTGGAGAATTTTTCCACCTGATGACTCAGGTGTTCTCATAAGAAATGGAACAGATGTTGAACCAGGCCCCAATACCTGCAGCATTAGAGGATCAAAATAATTTAATGAGTGTGATTCTTAAATTGAGGAACAGTAAAAGGTTTTTAAAACAGTAAAAGGTTTTTAAAACAGTAAAAGGTTTTTTTTAATTGAGGAAGAGTAAAAGGTTTTCTTAATCAGGTCTTTGTTTAGATGGGTCATTGGGAAAAAAGCAAAAAATTTAAACAAACGTTTTAAGATGTTTTCAAAAAGAAAAAAAAAACAAAACAGATCTCTCAAGAGACTTGTCCCTGTCTCAGAAATTGAGACAAGCGCCCCCTTCCCCCAAGAAGTCATTAATTCAAAAGAGCGTTTGTCTTTCCTAACTGACTATTTCTTTCGTACGGAAGAATCAACTTACTTCCTCAGGTATGTTGTCACTTTCTGTGCCCTGGATTTTTGTTTCCAGTGAGTGGTGGTCGTCAACAGTAAGCTTTGCCAGTTTGTTGTGACTGGACGCACCATTCTGGAGATCGTGGGGATTGCCTTGAGGACTGGGAACTTTTGTTCCAGAATTATCATCTGTAAGAGGTACATTCGTTCGAGGAAATAATATTAATTGGGCCCTGTAGAACCTGAAGAAAGCAGCTTAAAACTTGTATTCCGCAAATGAACTCGGAAGTTGAAACACTTAATTGATCTCTAGAAAGGGTTTTTTTTTTTTATTTTTTGAACCGCCTGTACCTAACTTTCAATCTGTCACTGGTTGACTTAATACTTTTATATTTCTCACCCTTATTGAGGTACATAAAACTTTGCACAAAGTCTTCGTAAGACTGCTCTTCCTTTCCAAATATCTCATCAAGTGCTTCCTTAGCATACTGATCAAGATCTGGCTGAGATTCGTCACTTTTAACGATTCCTTCACCTTTCGCCATGATTGATTTTTAGTCTGCGAAGAGCTGCATGGAGACTGAGCACTAGATCCATGTAACCAAGCACCGAAGTTGAAAACACACAGACGGACGGCGGGAATATGGTGAGAAAACTATCCTCGTTTTGAGCCTAATAATTTCAAGAAATGTTATTTTAGCACTTCCTTAGGATATTTGACTGTTTCTCTGACCTACTAAAGACTGAGATCAATTTGACACTTGCAGCGCTGAAAAACTTGGTCATTTACACTGCATGTAGTTTGCATCTTTGCAGACAAATAACTCGATTGTTAGTTGACTTGCTAGAATGCGATGCATTGCTAAGCTTTAGTATTATATTATGCTCTCACTAAGATGCTGAAAGTGACCTGCTACCGAGCCAAGTGGCCCAGCTCAAGCATATGAATCCTATATGTTAGCAACATGTCAGCTGTAACAAATTGTAGTGGTGTACCTCTAAGTTCTTCTTTCTCCTAAAATTCAATGAGATTTAAGTATCTTTATTGTCGTTTCTATCTTCACAAATTTGTGACACGGTTTGTTAGAATTTTTTCGTAAAATCAAGCAATGCCCCAATTTGAAATTTTTTAAATTACCCCATGTCTGCTTGACAATGTACATGTTGATTTGCATTTGAGGAGAAATTATTATTTCATCACACATTGGAGCAAAAGTATGCAGTCTAACGTTTATGATGGACTTGCAGAATTTTAAGTTGGTTTTTTTGTGGTGTTCTTCTTTATTTTATGATACTCAAACATCCATATATTGGTGATCAAATCCATGAATTGCTTTAAATTTGAATTATTTTATCAAATCCTCCATACACAAAGCCTCCCAAACCACCTGGTAAGAGAAAGAAAAGTGCAAAACTTTCAAAAGCAGAGAAGGAAAAGTTGAAGAAAGAAGAGGCAGAGAAGAAAGCAAGAGAAGAGGGTGAGCCATGTACCTCAGTGATCAGTATAGAGTCAATGTCCATAATTTTCATCTAATTTTTGGAATTTTAAGCAAAAGTTATCAATATAGTGGCCAATCCTGTAGGAAAGTTGTGTAAAATCAACCTTCACTACAGTTTGCAGTCAAGACAGCAAAATACCTTTTCTATTTTTAGAGGAAGCACGGCTTCAAGCTGAACAGGAACAGCGAGAACGAGAAGAAAGAGAAAGACAAGAAAGAGAGGAAAGAGAAAGACTAAGACAACAGGTTAGATAAATTAGTTTTTCACTTACTTAGTATATTGGACCATTTTAGGGGTTTAATGATTTATTTAGTTGAAAAAATTCCAATGCAGCTTTTCATAACTGAGCAGCTATACCTAACATGTAGTATTCCAATTCAAGAGATGTTGTCTGAATCAGTGTAAAATCCGTTTAAAAGGAACTTACTAATTGGATGACAAAATTGAACTATTGTTTTTTAAAGGAACAATTTATTAACTGAATATAACATGAGAACCTGAAGAATTTTGTATAATTTTGCAGCTCCAGTTTAGAGACTGAAATAATCTTTATGTTTTCACTGAATGGTCTCCTCGTAGGAGAGTGCAAGACACCAGGCTGAGGTGGATGAACTCAAGGAGAAGATTGAAAACAATTTGCAACAGTTAAAGGGTTTACAAGAAGATGAGCGTGCAAAGGCAAAGGTTGGTATTAAAAAACCATTACAAGAAAGAAAAAGAAAAGAGGAGGTCTAATCAGTGGTTAAAATAGCATTACAGCACAATAGTTAGCATGTTGCTCATTCAAATTAATCTTAAAAACTACTCAGAACTCCTCTCAAGTCTACTGACAGAAAAAAATTTCTGTTGAAAATACCAGTATAGGACACTCCACCTTTTCCTCCCTCCTTCCTTTCCTTTCTCTCTCTACTGTTATCAAACTCTCCATTTCCTTTGTTTCCTCTGCATTTCTCTTTCTTTCTTTTGTACTCTCACCTCTTCCCCTTTACCCAAGTATTCTTTTTGCTCCAACTTGTTTTATCTCAGTCTTCCTTCCTCTTAAGGTGGCTGAACAAAGTTTTTGATACTTTTGTTTCTTTCACCATTTTCTCTAAGACCCTTGATCTCTCGGTCCCCAAAACTGGCAGCAAGTAAGTTAACAACACAAACTTTGGTTTTTTTTATATTTAAGTTGACTTATATGCCGTTGCCATGGCGACATGAATAGATATGAATAGGCAATTAAAATTGGTTTTGTTTCTTTGTTGAAAATCTAGTCATTAGATTTTCTTTATAACTTGCATGCAACGAGCTTGTAACAATACTCACAAGTTAACATCATTTTGCTAACAATTTAACAGAGAGCTCTTCAATTATCCCTTGCTGAAGGTTCACTCGATTTTCTAGAATTTCCTTTGTTTAAAATCAATTTTTTTTCAATACTCCCGTTACTTATTTCCTTAATTGTTTTCTTGCCAATTTTCATGAAATTCTAATGAGGGGTTCTCAAGAAATAGGCATATTTCCGAGAAAGCAATTTTCCATTCAGTCATAATTTTTTTACTTACTATGCATGCGCTGCATTCAACTGGGTCCTCTCGGTAACGACGAAAAGGCTGAGAATTGCTGGGTTCTTTGCACCGTTAACTTTACAAACTCTTTGTAATAAAAGATTAAGCCCTCAATACACTGTGCCAACTATAGAGGAAAATAGCACAGATAGTGCAGGTATGTGTTGAGTAAATAAAATGACCGCTCTATTGATGGCATGTTTGTTTTTGTACAATCTTTGTGCATGCGCTGAATTGCATCAGCAAAAGCGCGCGCGAAAACTGTGTTCAGCCACCTTAAATCATATTTCTTTTATCTCTCATACTCCTTCCACCTTCAGGCTTGTTACTCTATATATAGCCTCCTGTGCTTCATTTATAGCTATCATATGAAGACAGCTCCTTGTAGATTAAAATATATTTTTTATCATTTTACAGTGGGAGAGGTATATGCTGTGTGATGGAAACCCTGATCCTCTGAACACCCGCGATCTGAATACTTTTGTGAACCTATGGAGAGATGATAAAGAATCCAAACCCTTTCCCATTGTACTCAGTGAGGGTGAAAACACTTTAAAGGTAACTTAGGTCTGAATTTATTCAGTGATGTAGTCAAACTGGAATTTAATTCAACTGTGTGTGTTACTCAAGAGAAAAAATAGCCAGTTATATATTCATAATGATTAATGGGCATTAATGATTTTGCTGAACAAAGATTATAAGAAAATAAAATGAATTTGTTATCATTTTTTACAGCTTATAGAAGAACTTGAGGGTTTTCTATCAAATTCTGAAGATGAGGGCTTTACAGAGGATGACATTCAAAGGCTTAAACAGGTTCATCTGTTTGTGACATCATTCTACTTTAATATTTTATTATTACGATTGCAATTCATATTAAATGAATATTAACAAAATTCATATCAATTGTATTTACTCGTTCATGATTGTCTGTTATCAAGAAGTGGCCAAGTGGCTACAATTATAGTACATAGAGTGTCAAAGTATACCAGCCAACTGTGTGGAATGAACATTATAATAAGAGTTTTGTTGATGACCTGATTGTATAGTCCAAGACTCTGGAAGAAGAAATTTCTTGAAGAATTTTCTTGAAGAATTACACAAAGCCTTAACAATTTTAAACATACTGTTTCGCTGTTTTAAAAGTTTACTATTCCACAGTTCTCACTTTAGTTAGTAATTAGAATTAAGTACCAGATTAGCTGATAGACAGCATTATTGTAGATCCTGCATGGAAATACACTCCCTCTTTTTCCCTTTGGGTCAAAGAGAGGTGTGTGTTTCCATGTGTGACCTGGAATGTCTGAAAACAAGGCTAGTCGATATGTTTTTTTTCATTTCACTCAAGACTTGTATTTACAAATAATATAATTTGTGGTAATCCTAATTAGCATAAATTGATATTTTGCCAGCATGTATCGGAGGACTGGGGGTGGCTGCGAGGTACACAGAGAGTTATGGGATCATGGTTTGTAAGCAGAGGTCATTAGTATAGCAAGGCATTCTACGGTCAACCTTCCCCGGGTTTAGCTATTCGTTTTCATCTTAAATTGTATAAATTCAGAGCAGTGCTTGCATAAGTACCAAGTAACTGTGTAAAAATGTCATTTATAGGATACCCTAAAACCCCAAGGGTGGCAGCGCTGCCTTGGTTGGGGGTACACGTTTCCCATTTTTTCCACTTGCTGGTTTTTAGGGGTTTTCATGTCCGGCTTTGGTGCGTTTAGTTTACTTCAATTGTAATAGGCTTCTGTTAGCATATCAACTTGGCGTTAAATAAACGGTGGCTTGGCTGGCCAATCCACCCAAATATCAATTCTTTGTGTGTCTGGTTGAGCAGTGAAGGAAAAATATGCGATGATTGTGTTAATTGTTCTCTTTAACAGTCAGTGCTTAAGCTTCAAGAATTGATAAGCTACAAGCTGGATGAAGCAACCATGAATCTTCTGAAGGTGTCTATAATTACAGTTGTTTCTTGTAGAAGTGATAATGCAGCCTTTAATTTTTTTTCACAGTTTGCAAAGACCATCAGAGACTATATCTTATTAACCAAGCACGAGGGCCATACTGGGAGAATATTGGCCCGAGGTCTTGACAGTACGGACCGAGCGCCGATACTCTTCCCGAGCAAGCTTGGTTAATAAGAGATTTATTATACGACTGAAGTTCAAAGGGACACAAGTGTGGTATCATTCAGGACCATTCGGGACAGTGCCCGGTCCAATACTTAGAGAATATTGGACCGGCAATAGAGCATTTTGATTGGTTGATTTTAGTTATTGGCCCTTTGACTGCCCGAGTCGTGTAATAAAAGTATTTAGAATCTAGAAAATTAGGATAGGCAAGCACAGAAATGATTTGTCCTTAAATGACAGAAGTATCTTACAAGGAGTTGAGGGATGGAAAGTTTGATAACAACAGAGAGATGAAATTTAGGACCACTCATCGCAGTTACATAAAATCACACATAAACATTCCTGCTTATTGAATGTAAAACTCTA